TGTAAAATATTTTATAATGTAAGTATATTAGTTTTTTTTTTTTTTTTTAAACTCATGTTTTATTTGTTGCAATATTGTTGTAAACCTCCTACATTGAAAATTTCTATCTTTTGTTAAATGCAAAGTAATAAATAATAGATGTTTTCATATAATCATTGCACAATTCATTTTAGCATTTCATTGCATTGTTGTACACTTGTAGTATGAGTATTTTTTTTTTTTTTACTATATTAAGCATTGTTAACAATTATTCACTTTTGGTGAGCATTTACTTTCATCTTTTTTATTAGATGAAGCAGTGTCATCCATTATTATTAATTTTTGACTAGTATGTCTTACATCTTCGTTATTTTTTATTACATGAAGCATTGTTGAACATTATTATTATTTTTTACTAGTATTTCCTTTCATCTTCATATTAGACAAAGCAGTCATTCCTTTAAACATAAATTCTCTTTTAGAACCACTCTTGAACCTTAACATTTATGTGAATTTTTAATCAAAAGAAAAACTGTTTTTTGTTTTTTTTAATTCATGCAGTTAAAATTTTAAATTTGATCTTGGTAATCTGAGGAGATATTGAAAGGTTATTAGTCCAATCAAAAAGGGACTCTAAAAAGAAAAGTCAATGGTGACCAAGAACTTTTCATGATGTCCTCATACTCTTATCAAAATTCTTAAAATCCTTCGGGTTATCAGATAAACTTGATTTGTAATTTACAGCAAAATCTTTCTCAACACATCAAAGGCACATGCCATAATTTCTCTCCTGTAATAATGATAGTATTTTCCATTTGAGAATATTTTGAAAATAATTATGAAATTGCCCCAAAATAATTGTAGATTCTTAAAACTATATCATCTCTTTTGCTCAAACCTCAACGCAATAAAAAAGCTTCACATTTTGGACAAACAAAAATAATCAATGTAGCACGAGCCAGTTGTACCAAAAATATTAAATTTGATCTGAGCATGAACAAAATTAACAAAAAAAAAAAAATTTAACAATTTAATTGACTAGAAAACAGTTGAAAAAAATAATAGCTTGTAAAATTAAAAAATGCTAAAACATAGCATAGTTTCTAAATATTCTTTTTTTCTCTTGATCTCTTAAAATGTTTGAGAAATAAAAAATCAGTTATACATCATCCCAAAATTCTATTTATTTTTATAAGCCAATCGATTGTGATGAATAAATTTCTTTTTTCAGTTTTCTTATGTTTTTTTTCTCTTCTTTCATCTTTCAGTTATTTGTATTTTGCTTTATTTTTATTATTACTGTTTATCTATTCAAGGTTGATTGTTTTTATTTGTCATTTAAATCTATTAAATATATTGAATCTATTCTATAACATAAGACTTCATATATATCAGTTGCACAGACTTATCTCCCCTTTTTAGTAATGAAGCAAACTGTTGTTAACAGAAGTCATTAGTATCTACCAATGGTTCCAACCTTTTTTTGGCCATGCCCCACCTAAACATCTCTAAAATCCTGATGCCTCAACCACTGTAACATATAATTCTTATTATTCAAAAAGTGAACTCTTGTTCACATGGAGGAAGCCTAAAAGGCTTAACTTTGCTTAAGAATTTGAGATTGTATATATGCAATAGTATTATCATTTAATTTGAGAATTTTACAATATTTCTAAAAATATTGTGTTGGTAATATATATATATATATATATATATATATATATATATATATATATATATAATTGAGCCTTCTTGATAAATTTCATCTCAACATCAAGAAACAGGAAAGGATCATTATAAAAATAAATAGACATAATATGTCTATATTATTCAATGAAACATGTTTGAATGAATATATGCTGCCTAAATATATGTATTATATACAGTACATAATGATACATATAAATACATACACACAAATATTTATATATGCATACTGTATATGCATCATATGTATTAACTTGCACACACTCACACAGACTCACTGTGATTCTTGCTGTGGGTTGCAGTAAAAAAAAAAAACTTTGAAAAATACTGTTGTAGACTATCAGTCTTTGTACCTAGCCTCATTCTATAATAGTGCATATATTGAAGGTAAATGGGGACATTTTGTATGTAAAGTGGTAGGACCTGGTTGATTAATGTTTGTCCAGATGTTGTAGACTAGCAGTGCTTGTAGTTTGCATAACTCCATAAATCGATAAGATTAAATTTGAGTGGTAGTTATAGACCATCAAATATGACATCTTTAAAAAGTACATTATATGAAACAAGTTTCTAAAGTTTCCAAAGTACATTAGTCCAAAAGTGGACATAACAAACTCTGTCAGAATTTGAATTTGGCTTGCTAATAACATTACACTACCATCCATCATTTATAATTATAGACAGCTGAAGTTGTTAAATTTTATACTTTTTCTTGGATTAAAGAATATTCATTCATTCTCTGGGAAATATTGTTGATATGAAAAAATTAAAAAAAAAAACAATGTCACAGTTTTTGCTGAGTAACTTTTGTAAAATCTGAATGCACTATATTTGATAATTATTGCAATAGATAAAAAATAAAACAAACATTGCTTTTAGTTAAGATTTGCTTTCATGAACCAATGCATTTTTGTTTAAAAATACATATTTTTAATGTATTTTCTTCTTTATGTGCCTTGTCCCCTCAGGATGTAAGCAATCATGACTCTCCACAATTTCCTGTCCTTTGTACCTCTTAATAAATTTTGTCTTTTCATTATTTTTCCTAAACCCTGTTCCACCATCCGTAATGTGCTTTAAATGAATGTGAAATTCATTTTTTTTAATTATTAAATTTTTTTTTTAATTTACAATGTAAGTATAATGCTAAACTTGGACGTTTACTTTTTGTCTGTTTTCATTCAAGTAGCAGACCCATTTCATTTGACTAAAATGTCTATGATTTTAAAGTTCTGAAGTCTAAAACAATAATTTTCCTTTTCTCTACAATTAGCAACTCAATTCATGGGATGACAAAAACCCTCACCACACATTAATATTGTTAGTATGACAATAAAATTGCTTGATGCATAAGTCAGATATCTGAATTTCATTTCACAATAGATAGTATGAAATTCATCTTTAACAGGTAGAGGAATTGAGAACATCTCCATGTTAAATTTATAGAACACACTGTAGTGAAATTAGAACAACTTATTTATGTGTGTCAGTATTGTTTAGTGGTAAATTGATTTTTTTTATTGTATGAGATCTTATTCATTATGAAAATCTCACTTGTCTGAGGAGGTAATGTAGACTTCATTATTTTTTGCTAGGTTCCTTAGTGTCTGTATTAGTCTCAGTGAAAAATTTTTGCACTTTGTCACATATATATATATATATATATATATATATATATAAATAAAGGTTGTTTCATTAAGACGGATCAAAGTCAGCAGTAAATAAATCAGTGTTATTGGTGAAAATTTATTTATTTCTCTATTGGATCAAGTTATTTAAGTCAGGGCAATTATGTATGAAAAATAACTGTCCACTAAATCTGAAAGAAAAAGAAAAAAAATCATTAGACACTTAAACTTAATTCACATTAAAATTGGTCCAAGTTATTGGAACAATCTTTTATATATATATATATATATATATATATATATATATATATATATATATATATATATATATATATATATATATTTCAGCAGCAATAATTCTTTCAAACATGTTTGATCCTATAAGAAAACATCTCTCAAACACCAGTTTGAAAATATATATTTCACATACACATGATGGGGTGCTGAAAAGTTTCCAAAATCTGATCAAATAACCAAAAGTCAGATATTTTAATTTTTTTTTTTTAATCAGTGGCTTAGCCTTTTGAAATCCTGAAACTATCTTAGTTATATAAATCACAGAGTGGAAAGCTTGATATCTGTAAAAAAAAAAAAAAAATTCTATTTTATTTTGGTTTATTTCAAAAAATAAAATTACTTTCTGCCTTTCTAAAATTAATCAATTTCACATTTACTTTTACTAATTTAGTCACTGTTAATATCTTTTGCACCTGACTCGCACCATCCATTCACCAAAAATTTGGTCTTTGTCCAATTTTTATTGCTTTCCCAGATAATGCATGATCCATGTCTTATTCAAGTCTAACTCCCTCTTTTTGGGAATTATACTGGGTACAGCAGAAATACCTCCCACATTTTAAAGGCTGACAAAAAGATCAAGGTACAGCATCATTCCGACATAACATGAAATGAGAAGGAAAATGCTCTGTGTTGCAATTATGACTCACTAATCTTAAAAAATGTTTCAACAGCACTCAGTGGGTGCTGGTCCAAGCCATGATGGTAACTGAAAAAAATGGTTAGACATTAGCTAGATGAAGACACTGTTGCCACATGACTAAGTTTACTAGCATCATATAGGTGACAGTTTTAAATGCGGGAGGTATTTCTGCCGTACCCTGTGTGTGTGTGTGTGTGTGTGTGTGTGTATATATATATATATATATATATATATACACACACACACACAGATATATATATAAATATTTCTAAAGTATTAATGGATTTAATTTTAATCCAACATTTTTATTACTTCAAACGTTATTATAGTGCATACTTGTATTTGACATCCCAAATACCTGCAGCATCAATCAGTCATTTCTCATACAATGGGGGACACATGTTTGATCCCTACTAGAGAACACATTTTCTTGATTAACATTTCTCGAATACACAGGGCTGGTCAATAGACAGGCATAATACATACAGTTTAAAATGAAAATGGGGCATCTATTTCAAATATGAGTATCACCTACAAAGCGTTTTAATATATATATATATATATATATATATATAAAGAAAGTACCAATAATTCATGCTCTTAAAACATCATATAGCCTTATGATGTTTTCACTTAACTGTATGAAATTGTCTTAATTTTGCTCAGATAGATGACATCTGAGCAAAATTAATTTTTTTTTTATTGTCAGTGATAATTTGCATTATTTCTTGCTCCTTTCTGATCAGCCGATATAGCAGAACACTTGTGCGAGCGAGTTCTCAGTGTTCTCTTTGAGATCTGGATTCTTGCCTGTGCCCGTTGCTTCCCATCTCCATCTCTGTGGAAAACGTTCCGCAACATGTGTATCTGTTGGCGACACCATGATGCACTCATTCAACAATGGCATCGAGTCAACCATGCTCTCCTGTCTCGTCTCCTCAAGTTTATGTATGGACCAGACTATCCTGAACTACAAATCCGTAAGTAAACACATCTTCAGTCCTACAAACCTATTATTTTTTTTTTTTTAACCATTTCACCTCAAGCAAGGCAATAAAGCCACTAAAATGCAAGTTTGAAAGAATATAAGCAAAAGAAAACCTTAATAGTAAGAGAGAACACTAAAAGTACATGAATTAAGACAAAAGATAATGATTGACATTGCATTTAATTTTTTGAAGATTAAAATTGACTGGGAATCAAGAAACTGAAAAGATACCCCACAAGTGGGAAGTGTGAAAAAAGAAACTGTTAGCGTAGAACTTGTGGTCGCATTTAACCAGTTCAGCTGTAAAATGATGAGACTTTGTTGCTAATCTAGTACTGCACTTAAATTAGTAACTAGGGACTACTATTATCCGTGACTGGCTTGTTTTGTCCACCTTAGCAACGTTTTCTTATTTAAGGTCCTGACAAATATTTCTTTGTTTCTAATGTTATTTTTTTCAGTCTCTGAAAAGAACCTTTCACTATTCCAATGTGCTTTCAAATTTCTGCATTTGGTAGTACAAAATAAAAATCATACTCTGGTTCAGTAGAAGAGACAAGCAATATCACAAGGATGAATTAAATAGGAAATATTAATTGATACAAGCTTTCATCTAGCATAAACAGAAGAATAAGAACAACTTAATGACTTGAAATTCCTGGAATCCGACTAACTCTGGCTGACATCTAAAGAAGGCCAAATTGAGCAACAGCCAAAACATTATGACAATATCAACCAAAATGAGGACACTAATCAAACAAATTATGGTTTAATGATAATAAGATTAGCTGTTTTCATACAGAAAACATTTGGCATTCATTGATCAAAGTGTGTTACTGTGATTGAAATTAGTAAAATTTTTCTCTTAAAAGAGTACTGAACAGTTACGTGATATCTATTCTCCTAAATGACAGTAAATGCTGGATAATCACCTCAAAGATGAAGAGGAGACCTGAGACAAAAGAAATGTTGTTCTACAGAAGGATGCTGGACATAGACCGAATATGTGAGCAATGACAAGGTTTTAGAGAAAATGGAAACAAAAAGGAAACTTATACTGGAGCATGTAATGAGAAAGAAGGCCTTTGAAAATCTGATTCTCACAGGAAAAATTTAGGGAAAAGCAACAAAGGAAAGCAGTGCATAACATACTTGATGTGATTGAGCAAATGGATGGCAGAAAAGGGTTTGGGAGAAATAACAAAAAGACAAAATTTATTAAGAGCTACAAGGGACTGGAAGATGTGGAGAGCTATGATCGCCTACATCCTGAAGGGACATGGCACATAAAGAAGAAGAAGCTTTCTCAAGTCCCGTAGCTGATATCACTCTTTCTCATAGGGCTTTCCTTCCTATCTTTTGTTTAATAATTCCTAATTAGGGGGGGAAATACATAGAAATGTCTATAATGTCTAACTTTTTACTGTAAAAGAATTATTTATTTGCACTGTCACCTGAAGTTGCCAGTGTCTTTTAATACATACCTCCCTTGTATTGAAGCTGTCAGGTGCCAGTGTGTCTATTATGACAATACTAGACTGTTTCAAATGAGTCTTACGGCCATATCACTTTGAAATGCAGGTTCCTGTATGATCACCAAATTTAAAGCAACGTTATGTCTGGTCAGTACCTAGATGGGTGAATACCATGTACTGTAAACTTGGATGTGCAGGTCATGTTAATGGATAATGGCTTTGAATTGTTAATATGAGAGCCGAGTTCTAATTTCAGTTGGGTTCAATGTATTCACTTATGTACAAATACTCTTGGGAAAGTTATGGGTTAATTAGTAAGACTTGTATCACTAAATGTGCGGCAAGTCTTTCACAGTTGATGCAAACAAGAAACTAAACACAACATGAGGATTGATTTGTCCAGTTGATGAAAGAGAGAGAGAAGAACCCAGTTGTATGTTGACAAGTCACATAATTGCAATTCAAAGTTATATTATTAAATTATTGTTCAATGCCATATAGAAGGACTGATATTACATAACAGTTCAGTACTCTTTTCTTTGTTTCTAATGGAATTTTTTAAAACATCACATAATTCAAAATGAGTAAATCACACAAAGTTTATTGGCAGACTGACTGGGTACCAATGTGTGTTAGCTTCACATGAATTTCTATTCAACATTACAATCAGAACATGTAGAATCTGGCAATGTTCCAATACAATCTTTTTTTGGATAAGACAGTTAATCTGGCAACACTTTAGAACCATAAATACTTGGGAATTGTTAGTGAACCTGTAATTTGTATTTAAAATCAGTTCACCATAAAAATTGTCTATTTCTCTATTTTTCACATGTTTAATAACGTTTTCATTTTTTGTTTTTCTTTTAAACAGCTGAAGAAGATTTACATTTGATTCCAGCTGAGATGACCAATGATTGTATTGCTCAAAGTTGGTTCCGATTTCTTCACATCTTACAAAATCCTGTGGACCTGTGCCATCCTGAAATCATCAGCAAAACTCAGAAGTTTATGGAAATGGTTCTCGCCTCCAAAAATGTTATTGACCCCTCTGAACATGAGTGCCTCAAGTCTCTGCCCCTGATATTCTGCCATTCCATGCATGGAATATCGGTTATGGTCAATGCATTTCTAGGTTAGTGAAAGTTTAAATTGTTATAATAAAATTAACAAAATTATTGTTTTTTTTTGTTTTGTTTTTTTAACTGATTCAACTACCAAATTTATACTCATTTTTTGTGTGTATTAATTTTTGTTCATCCTGCTTGATAGTTCTATACATTATAATAATTTCTATTCCTTAAATACATATAAATTTATGCATATTTGTTTATATTTCTGATTGAAGAACTGTAACTATTTACAATATTTAAATATTAAAATCAAACAAATAAAGATGATTTTGATATTTTTAAATTGAAAATATTTAAATCAAATTGAAATATAGCTGATTTTGATAACAGACAATTGAAAATTGCCTATTCTAACTGAAACTAAATAAAAGGCTTTGGCTCAAAATTCCATCAAATATCACCTGAAGACAGCCAAAACATTGTGAATATGGCAATAAAGATGAGGAAAACAGTTTCAACAATGTAAATAGTGTAAATAAATATGCACGTGTTTATAGATGCATTTATACATAGATGAAAACTTGCTCTCAGATGCATCCCTGTTAACAAAAGGTTTCAACTGACTAAAAAAAAAATAGATTCCATATTCAATCTCTAGTCTAGGTAGTACAGACTTGAAAACAAAACTAACCCTTAACTGAGCAGTACTAAAAAAAAAAAAGAACAAGATATTTCTAGACATAGACAGCAGAATAAGAACAGTCTACACCCATAGAGATTATATAAAGGCTTCAGTTTGAAATTCCCTGAAAGTTACCCTGTTCAGCAGAAACCTGAAGAAGACTGTAGGGCACAACAGCTGAAACATTGTAACAATAAAGATGAGGTTATTAGTTCAATTGTAAATAACAGCTGAATTTCTTAGAAACTTAAGCTTTTTGCAAAAATATTTTGGCAAACATGGATAAACATGCCCACAATAAGTTGTAGTGTCAAAAGGATGCTTTTCTCATGACACCACTTTTTTAACTACTTTCACTCTTTGGCAATGTTTATTGTTTCAAAAAGCGATGAAAAAAAATTGGAATAAAACATAAAAACATGATAAAAGTGAATTTATACATTTTTCTTTTTCGTTCTTGAGAATTTACAACAAAAATATTAAACACTATTTATTTATTAGATTGTTTATTTACAAGAATAATTTTATATCTAAAACATTCTAAAAACTAATACAATTAAATCTAATACAATGCAGTATTTATCATTTACCAATTTATAAAGAAATAAATGTGAATATTTTTGTTCATAAAATTATAAACATTTACTAAAATTATTAAAATATGTGAACCAACTAAAGAAATCCTTATTTACCATTTTATAAAATTTGAGTCAATTGACAATTAGCTGATGTTTTGCCAACTATTCCAATAAATAAGTAATAAATAGTATAAATAAACAATCTGCTAAATAGTGTTTATTATTTTTGTTGTTAATTTTCAAGAACAAAGAAAATGTACAAATTTACTTTCATATGTTCACATTTTATTCCAATTCTAATCATCGCTTTTTAAAACAATAAACATTGCCGAGGAGTAAAGATATAGTCAGTGGGATCGTGGGAAAAACTGTCCTTTTGACACTCCATCTTACTCCAAACATATTTATCCATGTTTGCTAACTTATTTTTATTGTTATATCCATTCAGGACCTCAGCAATGATGGCTTCTTACAACTTTGCTTGTTCATGATAAAGATTGTAGATTGGTTGTCTATTTCTTAATAAACTTGAAAAACCGAGAATATTGTTTGGCAAAAAAAAATGAAAAGCAATTGATGTCATAAAACTATATTCCTCTATTTGTTCAACAATAGCCCAGATTTACTACAACTCTATTTTTAATTTGTTTTTTTACCATAGCAATAAAAGAAACAATTTTATTATTATAGGTATTGCACAGTCTACAAAAGAATTGGCAAATTCTTCAAATGCATCCAACACACGGGCAAATCCTGCATGTACACCTCCTGGACAGCGTAAAACGCCAATGAGACCATTTTCAGCTGTTACAGTACCCCTCACACAAAAAGGTAACTTTGAATATTCGTCTGAAATTGCTTTTATTTGAAAACAAACATCTAAATAGGCAGGACAATATATCTGTAGTCTGATAATGAGAAAAAAATATTTAATACAATACTTTTCAATATAATCTCTTTTTAATTATTTTCTGTTAAACTGTGGCAGAAATTTGCATCATTTGCAGTTGAGCCAAATCATTGTGAATTTTGAACAGTATTCCTTGCCTATGAATAACATGATTTTAGAATGAATTCCTCAATCCTAGCCACAATGAATTGTGGAAGTTCAAATTACTATTTATATACACACACTCTTCGATGATTTTTCTTGATCATTCATTTCTGCTCACATCTTAACATAAACAATGACAACATATATTATGAAATGGATTAAATTCAACAATTATTTAATATACTTTGTTTATATATTATTTTATAGATTTATAAAATAAATTTATTTAAGTAAATTCTTTGTTTTTAATTAAACAGTATTAATTACATTTACCAGCCTGAATGTTATAGAAATTTTAGACATTGCTAACCAGACACATCTCTGTAGCTGAATGGTACAGCACATCAGGTCAAATCACTGTTTCCATATAGGAATACAGGTTCGATTCCTGTCGGAGAACACATATTTTCTACGAAATTTCTCGAACATTCAGGCCAATAAATGTAATTAATACTGTTTGATTAAAAACAGAACATTTACTTAAATAAATTGTATCTATAAAAAAAATGTATCAACATAATATATATATATATATAATTATAATATATTGCACATATAATGCTGGAGTTAATAAAAATTGCTCAATGTAATATAGCAGAGCTATTAAGTATATATTAATAAATATACATATGACAGATAATGTATCACAAATAAGAGAAAGAATCGACTGTTTGTAGCATTTACTTTTTAAAAAAGTGCTCAATACAAAGTAGATCAAAATATTATAAAATTTTCATTATGATAGATTACAATAAAAACATTTTACATTGCTGCACAAATCATTGCCCAAAGAAGGACATTATAGTTCTGAAACATGAAGGTTTTGGTGTAGCGAGGTAAAATGTTTTTATTGTAATCTATTATAAAAATATATATACACACACTTCAAAAAGTGTGGTTGGTTCTGCACAAAGACTTCACCACTATAATCAAATCATATGTGCTGGTGTCTGGTTGCCAGTTCCTAGGGACTGAGCCACTTGACCTTCATACATTGAATATGATGGAAGGGTTCCACCATATATATATATATATATATTAATGACATTTGGAAAAACATTCATGAAAATATGCTTAAAAAATAATATCCAATAATGTATTTTGCTTATATGGCTTCATTAGATGGAAGACGAAAAATGTGTTGTGTGCATATGCATTTGTGTATGTTTAAAATAATTAAATCTTATATTATTTTTCTCAAGCTTGTGTTGCTTGAGAAAGAAAATGAGTAACTTTTTTAAAAAATTATTTAACATTTTATATTCTTCTCATGAAGTGTCCAAGTTTTGAGATAGAAATCCTTCAAAATGGTTAGAAAATAAATGAAAGAATTGTTTCTTATAACTTTGTTGGGATTACATATCCAAATTTATTATGTGTATATATATATATATATATATATATATATATATATATATATATACACACACACACACAGAGTTTTCAAGGTGCCAGAAATTGTTTTTTCCCAGAATTTGTGTTATAAACTAGTGTTTAGGACTATTTTCAACCTAGTGTAAACAACATACAATACTACCTGTTTTGTGATGTTTTTTTATTATAATGTGTGTTGCAGGTATTATTTAACTTGGTCTGTACTGTAGAATATCCTTTTGAAACCAAAATGGTGACTGACCATGAAAAATCACCATCAGCATCTTCATAGCCATTTATTTCCTATTTTTCCCAAAATGGGTCAGCACAGCAATGCAACAATGAAAGTGTTAATCACATGGTTTGAACATTATACAGTGAACATTTCAGATCAAAATTCAACAAATAAATATCAGACTGCAGACTTATTGTATTATTGTACATGTAAATTTGAAAATGCAAAACTTTAGGCATTATAATAAATTACTTCAATATTGCCATTTTTGCATATAATTTATAAAGATAATATGAGAGAAAGTGGAAACATTCTCAGCCCAACCAAGAAGTACTTAAAAAACAAAATCTGATGTTTGGTTATTTGGTCAAATTTTGGAAGGTTAGTGAATCTGAGAACTTTTCAGCAGCCCTCATATGCATTATTGAATAGCAACTAATATCTTCTTTTTTTTTTTTTTTTTTTAATAATTGTCTTTAATTTTATTTAAATCAGGCTCATCAAAATCTTCTTCCACATCATCTAATTTGTACAAAGCAGCATCCTCACCAACCCCAATGATAGGCCCTGCTCAGCTGTTGCTTGATTCAAGCCTGACCATGGCACCATCCCGTCCTCGTTGTAATAGTATCCTTCATCTCTTTGGTGCCTGGCTCTTTGAAGCTGCTCTGGCTGGCGTTACGCTACATCCTTGCCACAGTGAAACAGGTCAGTGCAATTAATGTTCATATGTTCTTGAATACACATTTTTATTGAAATTCTTTTTAGTTGCACACCTACCGCAATGCAAATGATGTGATGATGCACACCTGTGGCAATTCCCAAATCAATGCAAATTAAGTGATGTTGCACACCTACCACAATGCCAAATCACAGTCTTTTGATGAACATAATTACTTACCATTAATTTAAAATATTGCTCTCTGCATAATTTTTCACGTATAAAATCTTTTTTTTTTCTTTTTGTTTATCATAAGCAACATATTTGAGGCAACAACAATTACTATCTTTTAATAAAAAAAGTTTCAAACTTGAACTTATTCTAACAAAATTCTATTTGATATTTCTACATGCAACCCAGGATTTAGCTTTAAGTTTTCAGTTTAACACCAAATGAAATATTTTATATTCTAAATAACAAATTTCTAATATTATACTGAATTCATCTTTCATAGCAAAATAACACTTAGATGTTAGTGCAAAAATAATTTTAATATTGTTTTCATTTCTATTATAAATGCCAATGATTAAAATGTTAAACAAAACTTTCATTTGATAGCTTATCTTTTCAATGTGATGGTTGACTTTGGTGCTTACTGGCTAAGTCTCTGATTCTAGGTTCCATGCTGCTTATAAGTAATCATAGATCTCCTCATTTTGTAATTTGCCGGTGGTTTCTTTGTTTAGCAAGAATTTGTATAACTTTATTGAAACCACATATAGGAAGTTGGAAAAGCAATGAAGAAAAGTTTGATAGCTTCCCACAGCTTTAGATACCTTTCAGAAATTTCCTTTTATAGCCAATAATTTTTGAAAATTTGAAGAAAAAAAATGGTTAAATGCCCACTGTCCTCTTGATTATCCAAATCCACCAAATAAAATTAAAACTCCCAGTGTCCTCTTTCAATGTAACAGAGCCCACAAGGGTGTGCTATTGCCCACATTGGGAAACACTATTATAATGTGTCTATTATATCTATTATATCTAATAACATCAACATAATTAATAACATAATTCACAATCTTCATTTAATAACATCATTTTAACTTTTCAGAGACACATCCTTTGATCTTGTTAGCCATGACCCTCTTTCCTGAAGCCATGTTGCTAAATGTTATATATGTTAGTTTGGTCACATTATGTTAACACATATGCAATACATGTTCTTTGGTCACATCAGATAGTAACCTACACTTTGATCATATCATATGTCACTGTGTATATTACATTTACATTAAGAACCATGACTCCAACTTAGTCTGAAGATATTAGGCATATTTTTATCTGCAATTTCGATTTAAAAATTGAAAGTGGTTGAGAAATCATTTCTTGTGGGTCATTGATTCTTCTAACCTTTATATTCTGTCTGATAGCTCAAAAACCAGATCGAAGAGCCAATTCCTTCACAGAAAGCCGCCACAGTTCCATGGTGACTGAACACTATTCAGAGAAAGCAAGAATTGCTGTCAATACTTATGAAGATGGCCGGGCAGAGGCTTGTGGCACTTTATGCAGAATATTTTGTGCTCACAGGACAGGAGAAGATATCCTCCCAGTTTACTACTCTCGTTTCTACATTACGATGTATTATGGACTTCAGGCAGGGGAGGTAAGAATTTTATATTTTCTGTCATTGACAGCATTTATCTCAAAATTAAAAAAAAAAATTTAAATCATAACTTGTCACTAATTACAAGATTGTATTTGAATATTGCCAGATACTACATGTTCTGATTGTAAAGTTGAATAGGAATTCATGTGTAGCTAACACTCATTGGTACCCAGGATACTGAGTCAGTCTACCAATAAACTTAGTGTGATCTACTCATTTCCAATTATGTGATGTTTTAAAAAATTCCATTAGAAACAAAGAAAAGAGTACTGAACTGTTATGTAATATCAGTCCTCCTATATGGCAGTGAATGCTGGAAATCTCTAAGATGAAGAGACTTGAAGCAATAGAAATAATGGTTCTATAGCATAATGCTGAGAATACCACAGACCAAACATGTGAGCAAGTTTTAGAGAAAATGTGGGCGGGGAGGCCACTTACACTTAATTCCAGAAAAAGACTGGTGAAATTTCTAGGGCACATAATGATGAAATTGTGATTAAAAAATGTGATACTCACAGAACAGGTTGAAGACAGAGGAAAAGAACATGTAATCTACCTCGTGAATTTAAGTGAATGAGTGGCAGAGCAAGGTTTAGGAGAAATAACAAACAGACAAAATTTATTAAGAGCAAAAAAGGACAGGAAATTGTGGAGAGCCATGATTGCCGACATCCTGAAGAGACACGGCACATAGAAGACGAAGAATGAGCTTGAGTAAATGGAAAGCAGAACAGGGTTTAGGAGAAATAAGAAAAAGGCAAAATTTATTAAGAGCTACAAAGGTCAGGAAATTGTGGAGAGCCATGATCGCCAATGTCCTGAAGAGACACGGCACATAGAAGACGAAGAATGAGCTTGAGTAAATGGAAAGCAGAACAGGGTTTAGGAGAAATAACAAAAAGACAAAATTTATTAAGAGCTACAAAGGTCAGGAAATTGTGGAGAGCCATGATCGCCAATGTCCTGAAGAGACACGGCACATAGAAGACGAAGAATGAGCTTGAGTAAATGGATAGTGGAACAGGGTTTAGAAGAAATAACTAAAAGATAAAATTTATTAAGAGCTACAAAGGACAGGAAATTGTGGAGAGCCATGATCACTAATGTCCTGAAGGTACATGATACATAGAAGACAACGTTTTTCAACCTGAGAAATTCAAACCACAAGCCTGAATTAAATTTCTCAGCAAATCTACAACCCTCAAAATGCTTTTGTCAAGCTTTTGGCAAACATTCCTTTGGTTGAATACAGGTTTTTAAGTGAAATGCATATTTAGTTGAAATAGCTGTAACTGTAAGTTCTATGCTAACAGTTAATTCTCTCACATTTCTTGCTTGTAGAACTCTCTTCTAGATTCTTGCTTTCCCAGTTGTTTTTTTTCTTATTCTTTCACACTCCGTATCCCTTTGCCTCTTAATGACTTTACTGCCTTGCTTGGGTTTGAAACGGATAGAAAAAAAACATTTCAAGACCAGTTGAAGTTTCAGTTTACTCTAACAAATCTCCAGAAAATTTTGAAAAAACATTTGTGAACTTATCCATAATAACTATCACCAAACAATCCATCAACTATCTCTGACATGACTAGAATTCTGGAACCTGCCAGGGGATCCTTATGGATAGATTGAACATGTGCTTTGATGTGAAATTGCTTTTCCAGCTTTTGAAAAAGGCTTCCTGGAACCACTTTGTACATTACCAAGGGGAATATTTTAAATGAATTTTATTTATTTTTTTTCACTAAAACTTTCGAGAACTTTCAGAGGGAAATTAGCAGGAGATAACTGACATCCATCAAACATGGCACGTGGAACGAGAACAGTCTACCCCAGTGAGCAAAATAAAGGGTTCAGTTTGAAATTCCAATCAGCATACAACGGCCAAAACGTTGTGATAAATATGGCGACAAAGATGAGGACAATAGTCCAAATAATGTAAATGATGTACGTAATACCTCATCTCAGAAATATAGACAGTCCATTGATCATGTTTACATCTATTCACCAATAGTGAATAAAATGTATAAAAGTTTGATACAAATAAGCAGACCCACAGATGCAACAGTTGTGAGTTGTATAATATAAGAGGAAGAAGTAAGTGCAGATTAAGAGAATATGTAGGATATATAATGGTTGATCATAGACTTTAAGAGGTTAAGATTCTAGTGATCAGGGAGGCATTCCATAAAGTGGAACTTCCTTCTTATGAAAAGAATGAAGATGATTTGGTTATGTGTACATGGCAATTCCTAGCACCAAATGTCTGATTGAAATCAAGGAATGAAGCTCGTCAGAACATCTGCCATAGAAATAGAGTAACAAGAGACTTGCAACATTTCTTCTATGGAAAAATGGCTGTATGGTTGAAAATAATTCATCACCCAAAAAATTGCATAAATGCTTTTGAGTCCAGAAAGTAAGGATTTTACAGCTCTAGCCTAAATATGGCAGCATTAATCTATTTTTCGTCTGATCTGACTAAAGATTCCCGATCACAAGTCCCATAATCCATTTGGGGCACCACATGTACTGCACCCATAGCAGAAATGCATCTTGCGCAAGATATTCTGATGGAGCCTGACTCTCTCCAGGTTGGTTTGAATTCAGTTTTCCTTCTCCAAGCCTACTTGCCAAGTCTATAGGGCTCATTTTGTCTTGCTATTTACCCATAACTTGGGGGGGGAGGTAAGAAGAGATGGATTCATACCTTTCCCAAGGGTACTTGCATGTAAGTGAATGTAACAAACCCTACTGGAATTTGAACTTGTCTCTCTGATTTCTCATTCCATGACACCACTGGGCAATTTAAGTAATATATGAAATATATTAATTGCTGTGGGAATAGAGCTCAATTTTTTTTTTTTTTTTTTTTTTTTTTTTTAACCTTGTCTCAGAACTTTCCAAGATTACTTTAGTCTGGCAATATCTTGTTAAGTCAGTCTCAATATTTATTCCTTTTTAATATCTTTTTGTTTTCACATTGGCTTTATATTGTTGTTTCTTTCTGCTTTTGGTTTAGATATATTAAGATTTGTCACAAAAAATCACGTAAAATAATTACCAAAAACAATCACAGTAATGAAAGCTTGTGAAGCCAACATTTCTGGATTGCATGTCCAGATCAGGCCCGGAATGTTTTTAATTTACTCATGGAGTTGACCTGATTCCAAAATGTTATGATATTTTGAGGTACTGCCTCTAGGAGTAAAGTTGAAAACATGGACAATTTTATTTTGAAACACTGTAATTTGAGAACAGTATTTTTTTCATTTGAACATGAGCTATTGAAAGTTAGACAGTTTTGTCCCTTTAATTGTTTTTATCAACAAAATCCAATATGGTGGAATCCAAAAACAATCACAGTAATTGAAAGCTTGGAAATTCAAAATTTTAGGATTGTGGGTCCAGATCCAGCCTGGAATGTTTATAATTTGCCTGATTCCAAAATAGCATATGTTGATCTGCAGCCTCTAGGAGTTGAAAAAATGTGACAGAGTGGCATTTGCATTTATTATATAGATGTATATGAAATTGATATTTTGTTAAAACATTATTATTATTATTAGGCTTTTATGAGTATTTCAATATATTTTCTCTAATTATTATTGTTGTACTCTGTTCCTTTGCATAGTCAGTCTTTTCATCTGCTGGCTTTGTAATCATCTTGGCATAGTCCACTATTGTCATAACAAAGACACTGCCAGATGGCATCACTGGCACTTGAGATAAAACTCCAGGACAACAAAAAGTTAAACATTACAGACAGAAATTATATAAATATACTTGGTGTGTTATATATATATATATATATATAGTTTTAAAATATGGTGTATTTATTCGTAAAAGTTCTCAGTATCAGGAATAAAGTGTATATAAATATAGAAGCGGACACTGAGGTCAACACCAAGTGGCGATAGTCTATTTGATACTTGAATGCAATCCTCTGCCCCGAAGACGGTGGCCATTTAGTGTTGACATCAGTGTTCAGTTATATATATATATATATATATATATAATCTAACATTTTTATTATTTCAAACATTCTTTTTAGTGAATTACTGTGTTTGAAATAGACCCCCCTCTATTTTGGGTTCAATTCAAAATTCTGTATAGGTTACCTGAATTGACATACACCTGATGAAAGCTGGCAGGCACAAATAGTCTTCTATTTAATTTTCTCTTCTATTTTTTGCTTTCCATCAGCATGGCTGATGCTAACCTCCAAAAGAGTAACCCATTGTGCCTTCTTGGTTGGATGTTTTTCCACTGATATGAATTGGAATGATTATATCTAATTGATTGCTAGATCTGCTACTAGGAATGTTTGTTCACTATGTCATGTTAAACAATTTTCATCACCAGAATCTATCTTGCAAATTTATAAATCTAACATTCACATGTACATTGAATATTGCTGGTCTGGTACTTCTGCTATGTATTAAGAGATTCTTGACAAAATCTAAAGAAGAATCTGCAATGTTATCAGTCCTGACCTGGCATCTTGGTTACAATCACTTTCACACATTGTTTCCCTGTGCTGTTTCTATAGATATTTTTGTGGCAATTGTTCTAAGGAGCTTTCCCCTTTGGTACCTCAACTTCGTGAATTTAAGTGCAGTACTAGATTGGCAACTAGGTCTCATCATTTTACTGTTGAAATTGCTAGAGTTCTACACTAATAGTCCCTTCTCTTTTACTTCTTGCTTGTGGGACTCTCTTTCAGCTTCAAAAATTTAAATGCAACATCAATTGTCATCTTCTGTCTTATGAATTCCGTTCTCTTATTGTCCTTTCTCCTCAATAATGTTTTCATAGTTTCTTTCACACTTGGTAGCTTGTAGACACATCATGTTGAATACTGATTTCCATACGATCTCCAAAGTTAAGTTAACATCAAACCTGGTCAGTACCTAGATGGGTAACCGCTTGGGAATAACAGGTGCTGTAAGATTGAATGTGCAAGTGGTGTAATGGATAATGGCTTAGAATAGTTAATCAGAGAACCGAGTTCCAATTCCAGTCAGGTTTGTTATATTCACTTACATACAAATAACACTAGGTAAGGCATGGATCCAACCTCTTTTCCTACTAGTTATGGGTTAATTAGTAAGACTTGTATCAATAAATCATTATCTCCAAAAAGAAAACTTTTACAATAACCTGCAAAGGGTTAAACCATAGAAAGCAAATCAAACTATCAATTCAATATCGGTAACCTCCAGTGTTTTACTGGCTTTATTTCTTTGCTCAAGGTGAGATGATCAAAAAAAAAAAAAAAAGGAATAGGTATACCTTGTTTAAACAAATTAATATTTTAAAAAAATTTTTTTTTTTTTATCCATTTTGCCTTTCGTATTATGATTTTTGTTATCTGTTTTAATATTTGTCTATTATAGAATATGAGTAGTCAAGTGTTGTCCAGTATCCTGTTCAATTCCTGTGACCTACTCAGGGTGGATCTAGCTGGAGCTCAGATCCTTGTCCCTTATATACTTAATGCTCTAGAACTTGTCATTTCTGAATTTAAGTGCATGTAAGTATTATTTTACAAAAACAATTCATTTCCTAACCACTTTCAAAACAAAGTCTTTCATGTTTTCTCACATAAATATTACTTATTTCATTTGTTTAACAATCTTTAGAAATATAAACAGTCTGTATGTATCCATTTGTTCTTTTGGAGTAATTGGCCATAGTTAAGTATAATTGACAAAATTCTCAATAAGCAGAATTGCAAAGGTTTTCAAACTATAAAAAAAGGAAGGGAAAAAAAACAGCAAAATAATTCTCAGCAAACAATGTATGTATGTATGTATGTATGTATATATAATGCCAGTTTGGGGCACCTCAAGGCGGTGTAATGGTTAGCAAGCTTGTCTCGCTAGAACAATTACAACTAGTAATTTAGTAATATTAGTGAGTTCGATCCTCACTAGGTGCCCCTTACTTTCAGTCTTGTGCTGCATCTAAGCTACGCTTAGAAAATCATTTAGAGCACCTTGAGGTGGTGTAATGGTTAGCAAGATTGTCTTGCTAGAACAATTACAACTGAGTAGTGAGTTCAATCCTCACTAGGTGCCCCATATTTTTGGCCTTGTGTCACATCTAAACTACACTTGGAAAATCATTATATAACGCAAGTCAGCCTTGTTTCCTGTTTAAGATTGGGTTTCTGGTTCCTTCTGAAGTCTACTTCAACCCTATACTTCTGTTATCTCTGCCTATACTCTGAAATTTTATTCACTAATTATTTATTTTCATTTTTTCTCCTCAATAGGCGTAGATAGGTTCACACTCCTCCACTATCTTTTGAACAGGATTAGAGGTTTTTCCTGTTTAGGATTGTGTTTCCAGTTCCTTCTATTTTTGCACCTTTGTAATTGTGTAAGGTCACCTTTGGTGAAGTGGGTGTGTGCTTGTGATGAAATTCAACACTCGGTATTAAGACTTTACCTGTACACAAATACTATCAACTATTATCAAATGGAAAGCTCTTAGTGATGTGCTCACCAGAATACTCCCAAATGCCATTTGTATGCATTGTAATATAATTCTGCTAATTTTTCTTCAGAACTCGAGAAACAATTCCTGAAGTCGACCTTCGGAAAGCATGTTTTCACCTTCTCTTATCTATGCTTTGTCTACCTCTACACTTCAAAGATCTTGAAATCAAAGGTAAATATGTCTGGATTTTATGCTTTTATACCTTGACAAGCATGGCAAGTTGCTGAAAAGTTCTTGGCCCAACCTAGCAGATATTCCAAAATAAATTTTGATGTTTAATCATTTAGTCAGATTTTGAGAAGTGGGTCAGTGTGAGAATTTTCTGCACCCTCCTCATAGTCACAATATTTTTAGCACCCTCCTCATAGTCACAATGATTTTCACTATACTCCTCATAGTTACAATAATTTTTTTCAGCATACTCCTCATAGTCACAATAATTTTCAGCATACTCCTCATAATCACAATAATTTTCAGCATACTCCTCATCACAATAATTTTCAGCATACTCCTCATAGTCACAATAATTTTCAGCACACTCCTCATAGTCACAATAATTTTCAGCATACTCCTCATAGTCACAATAATTTTTTCAGCACTCTCCTCATAGAAATGTAATATTTTTTTTCTACTTAAGTCTAATACAAATTGAATAGAATAATTTTCATTTTTTGTGACTTGTTATTAATCAAAATATTAGTCCACAAAATGACCTACTTTTTATGCATATAAATTTACATGAGTCAACTAACTTGGTGGGAAATTGAAGTAATGAAAATACAATAAAAATAAAAGCTTGAGAAACTTATACTAAGTCTTAATAGGAAAAGATAAATCCATAAATTACAATCCTTTAAAATGTGACTTGGACCAGAGCTTCAATCTATTCAGATCCACCTGATGAAATATTCCTTCAAAATGGTAACCAACTTTTACACTCACCTCCCAAACATCTGCCTAAAATACTAACAGTAAATCTATAAACTTTATTGCTGACATTCCACCTCACTAGAACAGGATAGGCATGTAAGGGTGGACTTCACAAAACGCAAACTGTTTTCCACCTGAAAACTTCTCCAGTGTAAACTTGAAAGATATTCACTTTGCAATGAATGTGGAGGTGTCCATAACAATGATGGAAAATCCGACAACATCTTTGTCTTTGTTCATGAAGTCCATCCATGTTGAAGGATTAAAAGTAAGAGAGACATACAGTTCTTGTAACTGGAAAGACTTCACACAATATAGATTATAATTTCATTTATAATATTTTCTACATTTTCTCTAGATGTCTTCTAATTTGAATTGATTTTTGGTAATCTTAGACCTTCATGCCTGCAAAAAATAAATGTCGAAAGGCTGGATTTTTCCCTTGACACTGCTATTATTTTAACTACCTTCACTCCTCAGCAATGTTTATTGTTTTAAAAAGTGATGATTAAAGTTTTAATAAAACCTAAACATATGATGAAAGTAAATTTATACATTTTTTGTTCTCAAGAATTTACAACAAAAATATTAAACGCTATTAGATTGTTTATTTACAAGAATAATTTTATGTTTACATCATTCTAAAAACTAATACAATTAAAACTAATGAAATGCAATATTTATCATTTATAAGAAAATAAATATGAAAACAATTTTTTCATTCATAGATTTATAAACATTTACTAAATTATTAAAATATGTGAACCAACTATAAGGAAATCCTTATTATTTACCATTTTATATAAAGTTAAATCAATTGGCAATTAGCCAATGTTTTGCAAACCATTCCAATAAATAATATAATAAATAAATAGTGTAAATAAACAATCAAATAGTGTTTATTATTTTTCTTGTAAATTCTCAAGAACAAAGAAAATGTAAAACTTATACTTTTATATGTTTAGGTTTTATTAAAATTCTAATGATCACTTTTTAAAACAATAAATGTTGCTGAGGAGTAAAGGTAGTTAAAATAATAGCGGTGTCAAGGGAAAAACCGTCCTTTTGACACTTCATTTTTTGTGGGCATGAAGGTCCAAGTTTACCTGATTTTTTTTTTTTTTAATCTAAGAAAATTGATAACAAGATAGAGAAATAAGACCTTTCTCTTTTGTTTTTTTTTTTGTTTTGTTTTTTTTGTTTTTTTTCTTTTTGTAATGTTTACAGAAATTTACCTTTCGTTTTTCAGATATCTTATCAAGTCCTGAGACAGGAGACAAAAAAATTTCTTTTATTTCACTCAAACGCAAAATTACTGAACTTCTACTTCGAGCTCTTTTCTCAGAAGTTGATGCTACCAACACTCAGATGTTACTTGGTCAGTAACCCTTTTTGCATACTGAATTTATTCAGTCAATGAAAATTGTTCTTTACACACACACACACACACATATCTGTATATGTAGCAATTTTTATGTGTTTTTGCTGTAATATCCTAAAATTATATATATATATATATATATATATATATATATATATATAGAGAGAGAGAGGTTATGATTTTCAAGTATATAGTAGTTGTGAATGTGGTATAAGGAATAGCATTTAGGAATGAGAAATCAGAGATCTGAGTTCAAATTCTAGTTATGTTTATTACATTCACCTACATGCAAATACCCTTAGAAAAGCTATGAATCCATTTCCTCCCTCTTAGCTATGGATTAAATAGTGGGATGTGTATTTAGAAAAATCATTGTTACTTTCCCAGAAATTGTTAATGCAATATTTACTCAAATAAAAAGAATTATTTTTACAATCAAAAATACATTTTGCCTTTAAATGAGCCACATAAGGATGATAAGTCATAGAAAAAAAATTAATCATTTCAAGTATAAATATATATGTTTTTTTTTAATTTCATGTAGTTTTCTCTGGACTAATTTTCTCATCTGCACCATGACCCAGAATATTTAGGTTATGTTGCCCTCCCGTCTTACTCAGGTGTCTATTGTAGGAATTATAGCATATACCCAAGGAAATCTGAGATGGCACAGAGATAAAAGATTGTGAAAAACAAAGATGAGAAAATCATTCCAAAGAAAACTGCCAGCAATGATTAAGACATACTCTCACCCCATCTAAGTAGTAATTTTACAAAAATGTATTGCTGATAATATTTTTTTTTTCTGACAAAAATGTATTGCTGTTATTTTTACTATAAAAACGTTTATACTTTCATAGTGTTTTGACTTTCAATATAGTCATCATTTAGTATTGGCTATTTTTCCAAAATTCTATCTACTCTTTGATTTCATCCATGAAGAAAGTTTCTGGCTTACTTTTGACCCAATTTTACACAGCCCAGCCAAAACCTCCCAATGAGAGGCCTTACTGCCGGAGGTAGTTTCTCATCATACCCAGGATAGGAGGGAATATGAGAAAAAGAATAACATTATTAAGGAAGGTGAACAATAAAGGAACCAGAATTAAAAAGACAGAAGACAACGATTGACATTGCATTTAAATTTTTTGTTTGCATGTTTTTTTGGTGGGGGGGATTTTTTGTTTGCATGTTCTTTTTTTTTTATAGGATCTTTGAATAGTAAAGAAAGTCAAAACCTAAAATCTACTTTTGAAAAAAAAAAACCTTTGTACTAATATTCTTATATGAACTTATTGCTAACAATAAAGTTCCATTCCTCTATGTTTATGTAGAACTCTGCATCACTGTATTTAACAGCTCCTTATATAAATGTAGAGTTGGTTTTAATGTCTGGTGCCACTGCTTGGGCATTAACTAAAACCCTTTAACCTACACTTGGATGCTGAGAGCTATGTTTAATATCCCTTGGAGACAACATCCAATTAATTCACAGGTCTATGAACTCATCCCTGATATTTCTACAATCTTATGAGAACATAGAATGTGCTTTGCAGGACACTACTAGCATGAAAAACAAGAACTACTGCTTTGGACACCTAACCATGGTGCAAGATGGGTCAATCACCCAGCAACCATCTATATTGACCAACTATGTTATGACACTGGATGCCCCCCCTAATGACCTTCTGACCTTAATACAGGGCCATGATGGTTGGTGTGATAGACTCATAAATGTCCAAGCTACCTCAGACAAATAATAATAACATTTAAAAAAGAAAAAAAAGCCATGAACAAGAACTCGTGTCCTCAGTTATAATAATGAATGTCTACAAAGATGTAAAATAGCAAGGATAAGAAAACTTACTAAATAGAGCACACTTAATTGCCTCTTCCCAGAAAATACTTTTTAGCATACTCAAGCCTATAAAACAAACATTGGCTATATTGTATTGCCTGTTTTAATGACTTTTGCTTTACTGTGTAACTTGGGGGCAAGGAAAACAAAGATTGACAGAGATAAAACAGAGACATGTGTAGAAATAATAATAGATTTATTTAGTCGCCATGTTACATTCCAATTCCCCATCACGGGCAAACAACGCCACCCTTTTCTCAGAGAGAGTTATTTCCCTTTTGCTCGTAACAGGCTAATATTAATTTTCCTAACTACATTATCAATAACCACGTAAGGTTATTCCAACAGAAATTAAATGGTGCCAGCACTAAAAATATCCATATCTATTACTTAACAAGATGCACAAAAAATATAAAGAAGGCAAATTCAACATGCAATGTATCAGAAAACAATATTTCACCCAAGTCTATATTTCTGAGATTAGGTATTTTAACTATTTACATTGTTCGGACTGTTGTTCTCATCTTTATTGCCATATTCACAGTCTATATTTCTGAGATGAGGTATTGTAACTATTTACACTATTTACATTGTTCGGACTGTTGTCCTCATCTTTATTGCCATATTCACAGTCTATATTTCTGAGATGAGGTATTGTAACTATTTACACTATTTACATTGTTCGGACTGTTGTCCTCATCTTTATTGCCATGTTCACAACATTTCAGTCATTGTACGCCCCAGCCCTCTTCAGGATCTTCCTATATTTCTGAGATGAGGTATTGTAATTATTTACATTAGTTACATTATTCAGACTGTTGTCCCCATCTTTATTGCCATCTCCACAACATTTCATCCGTTGTATGCTCCAGCCTTCTTCAGGTGATATACATGGCCCAGTGAATAAAAGCATTGGTTGAGTGATCCAAAAATGACTTGACCCGAAAAGTTGTGAGATCAGTACCTGGCCACAGCAGAGATGAACAAAAAGCTGGAGAGTTGAGTCACTAAAGGAAATTAACTGAAACTGAAATATCCAGAAAAGGCATGGGACGTGGCATGAGAACAATCCTCCCACCACCATCACCTCCCCGTGGACTAAATAAAGGGTTCAGTTCCAAATTCCAAGAAATATCACCTAAAGAAGGCCAGTGCATACAAAGGCCAAAATGTTGTGGATATGGCAATAAAGACGAGGACAACAGTCAGAGCAATGTAAATAGTGTAAATAATATTTCACCTCTCAACCTGAGTAAATGCTCAAAACTTAGAATATACTATAGAAAATTAAAAACTGTCAACCTCATATTTACTAATAACAACATGCCTATCAAATCTTAACTTCAGTCTATCAATATTGTTTATCAATTTCATTGCCCTGTACAAGGCTACATGATCACAGCATGGTATCATTAATTTGTAAACTGTCTGAGTTTGATAAGAAATAACCTAAACACTGTCTGCTCCCTTAAAAAAAAATCCTTGTAGATAACACTGTCAGTCTAAGAACATCTAATTGTAAAAGACATCTAATGATAATTAAAACACTCAATCTTACCCTCTTTGAAAATGGTAAAAATGTATTAGGGGTGTTTTAAAGGCACCTTCAACATGGAATTATTAATACTCCCATCTAGAACGGCTTAGAAATACTACTACTTCTACACAATACAACTTAGAACATAAACGCAGGAAATATATACTAACAAAGAACTCCTTGAAAATGATTACTCAGTTGGCTAAAAGTGCTTGGGACAATAAACACTACAGACAGATTCTACATTCTCTTAGTCTCCATAAAAGAAAAAAATGTATGAACATTAGAAAATCTTAATGAAAAACTGTTCCTTGTCCATCACATTGAATGAAACATGTATAAAAGAATGTTTCCTGCTCAAATATACAATATTCTTTCAGTCTATGGATGTTTCACTAATACACACCATATTGAAAAAATTGTTCAAAAACAAATATTCGAAAAGCATTTATTCAAATAATAAATTATTTGAATGAAAATTAATTGAAAGAACAATTATACTAAATGATAATTATTCAAAATATCTATGTTTGAAATATGTATGGGGTGTTGCTTTGAGAAAGTAGAGTATGTAGTCTTGCTTTGATTTACCTAGAACTAATGACATCCTTGAAGGATAGCCTAGGAGTTTTTTGTAGCAAGTGTCATCCCATCATCCCACAATATGAAAATTCTTAGACACTCTTAAAAGAGAACAGGACTTGCAAGAAATTCATATTGCAAAAATAAGAGCAGGTTTGCCAAAATATCAAGAGTGCCAAGAAATACTGTCATGTAAATGGAAAGCTTAACAAATTAGTGGCATCCTTTAACAAGTACTCTTCAGTATCATATAACTTAAGGATTTTTTCTTACTAAATTGTTTTATTAACAATATTTTTATTTCGAATAATTATTATTTGTGTATGTTCTCTTTTAATTTTTTACATTTTTATTGCAATAAAGAATTTTGCATTTCGAATAACTATTAGTATAATTGTCCTGTCAATTAATTTTCCTTCAAACAATTTACAGTTTGAATAAATATTTTTCATATACTTGTTTTTGAATAATGTTGACATAACCATACACAGACACACAGTTTTGTTAACTCATACAGACAATACAGATTATGTTGGAAGACAGATTGCAATGACTATAAAAATATACTGGCAAACTTGGATGTTTGTGGCCATAAAAAAAATCTGTGTCAAAGAGACAGATTTTCCCTTGACACTGCTATTATTTTAACTACCTTCACTCCTCAGCAATGTTTATTGTTTTAGAAAGCGACGACTAGAATTGGAATAAAACCTAAACATGATGAAAGAGAATTTATATATTTTTTGTACTTGAGAATTTAAAACTAAGATATTAAACACTATTATCCTGTTTATTTACAAGCATAATTTTATATTTACAACATTTTAAAAACTAATGAAATACAATATTTATCATTTATCAATTTATAAAGAAACAAATATGAAAATTTTTTCTTCATAAATTTATAAACACTTACTAAATTATTAAAATACATGAACCAACTGTAAGGAAATCCTTATTTACCATTTTATAAAGTTTGAATCGATTGGCAATGAACAGTTGTTTTGCCAACAACTCTCATGAACACTATAATAAATAGTGTAAATAAACAATCTAATAAATAAATAGTGTTTATTATTTTTGTTATAAATTCTCAAGAATAAAAAGAAAATGTATAAATTCACTTTCATATGTTTAGGTTTTATTACAGTTCTAATTATCACTTTTTAAAACAAACATCACTGAAAAGTGAAGGTAGTTAAAATAATAGTGGTGTAAATGGAAAAACCATGCTTTTGACACTATTTTTTAGTAGGTACAAATGCCCAAATTTGCCAATATAATGACTTCATTAAAATTTAGCTTTTTTCCAGGAGGAAAAGTTAAGGAACTAAATAAGAAATTAAAAAGTAAACAAAAAAAAAGCCATTTAAATTTAACATCAAATTATATAAATAGAACTCGTTAACGTTAATCTTTCCTCTAAGAAATTTTTTTTTCTTTTTTATGTTATTTACAGACATCTACATTTATTATCCAAGCATGTACTTCTGAAAGTTTTCTCTGATTAAAATGTTTTTTTTTTTTTGTTTGTTTGTTTCCAGGCGGGCTGATGTTGTTGGTGCAGGACCTTGCTCTGTATGAAGAGGCTGAGTATTTGGCTGTGCAACCTCAGCAACAAGACATTTGTTTGAATGATTCAGATATGTCTTCAGGTAACAAAATTAACCTCCTCATCTTTTCTAACTAAAATAAATATCAATTTTTAATGCAATTATTATTGAACTCTTGTATCATATGACACATAAAAGTCAAGAAGATTTTACTATTTAGTGGATAGGGAAATATAGAGAATGGGAAAAGTAGTATTGATCCCATGTATAAAATCAGTTAATGTTGCCTGTAAAACATTTGTCACATCAAGGGTGTAATAACAGTGAGCTGCTTAAAAGCATAAATTGTTTGTTTTCAACCCATTAATGGGTTTTCTAAATTACAGGATTTATAAAAAAAAAAAAAAATTAAATAAAAATTTGGCATTAATTATAGGTTTTTAAAAAATCTGTATTATAGGCTTTTAAAGAAATGCTGTATTCATCATAGGTTTCTAAAAGAAATGCTGTATTCATCATAGGTTTCTAAAAGAAATGCTGTATTCATCGTAGGTTTCTAAAAGAAATGCTGTATTAATTGCAGGTTTTTAAAAATTAGTACTTATAATAGATTTCATCTATTAATGCATACCATTATGTTAATACTGAAAAACAAAAAAAATTTTTATTATTCAATAATTTTCAGCCCCTCATAGATTTCAGTTATGTCTGAATTTTTTAGATCATGCACTGAATTGTTCAGACAGTCATCCTCACTGTGGTTGTTATAGTCACATATAGTAACATTTCAGCCATTTGTGGAACAGACTCCAAGTAGGATGTTTTCTCAATCACTACAATTTTGACCTCTTCAAGTCTAGAGTTAACTTAAACTTAATTTCGGTACTTTTCAGTGTTTGTAACTTTCTAGAAATTTTGAACTGAACTCTTTATTCAATCCATTCGAATAGATTGTTCCCTATCAATTGTTCATACTTAGGGGAGATAATTCATATCAGTTAATAGTGTCCTTGTGGTGTCACTTTTTGACACTAGCAATCTCACCTCTCACTGCTGGGAGTCTTATTCAGCAAATCGAGCTTCTCCACTTGCATTGTGTTTCAGTTGTGGCATTAAGATTGGGAAATAATTATTTGAGGTTGAGAAGGTGTTGTCTATTGACAAACAAAACCTCAAGTGTTAAACTGATTGGGAAAATAGACAAACAAGAGAATTAATAAAATGCAATAGAAATTTTTGTTCTTTCAAGAAAGTTTAGTATAGAGTATGTTCAAGGATAGTTCCTGAAAGAAAGTGTAAATTCAAGGAATGTTCTTATGATAGTCCCTGTAAAAATGAGGAAATGGTTGAACTTTGTTGGTAAGTTAAAGAATGAGTGAGGTTTCTTGTCTAAGCTATATCCATCTCTTGGAGCACTAACATCCTACCTCATACCCGGCACGGTATGGAAAAGGTCTAGCCTCTTGAGATTTGCACTATGCATACTTCCATTTTTTTTTTTTTTTTTTTTTTTTTAAAACGCATACCCAAAAACTGAAAAGGGATTGCTGCTGTTTATGATATGAGGAAGTCTTAGGTGAAGATGGTTGATATGTCCTCTGGAATGAAGAGAACAAGTTGCAAGAGAAATAAAAGTAGGAACACACCTCCAGGGCAGACGACCAACTCTTCATTGTACAAACAATAGCAGAGTATATTTATCAAGGGTTACAGTTATCAATTTAACTCTCCTCAATTCTCTGGTACTGTGATCTGTAGCATTTCAGCTCAGACCAAACACCAGATTCGTTCTCAGGGTGCAGCTTCTTCCATTCAAATGCTTATGGCTTAAAAATAACCCTTTGGCCAGATTGTTATCCACAAATTATACCATAAGAATTTGTAGCAATAAGCAATAATTTATTCTTAGGTTGTAAATTACTTCTCTAGACAAGTGAAGTCAATATGAAATATCTGTATATTTCTGAGATGAAGTATTGTAACTATTTACTCTATCTACATTGTTCAAACAGTTGTCCTCATCTTTGTTGTCATATTCACAATGTTTCGTCAGTTGTACACTCTGGCCTTCTTCAGGATTTGTCTATATTTCTGAGATGAGTTATTGTAACTATTTACTCTATTTACAATGTTCTGACTATTGTCCTCATTTTTATTGCCACATTCACAACATTTAAGACATTGTATGCTCTGACCTTCTTTTTTATTTAGTCCACAGGAGTAGATTGTTCTAATTCCACATGCCATACCTTTTTTGACTATCTCAGTATCACTCTATTCCCTTTGGTAACTCAACTCTCCAAGTTTTTGTTCCCTCTGCTGTGGCCAGGTATTGAACTCACAACTCTTTGGGTAAAGTCACTTTTTGGATTATTCAACCAACACTTATTCACGGGGCCATATGTCCTTGGATTACAACGATGAAAACATTGGGAATCTGGTAATAAAATAAGGACAACAGTGGAGTTCATCTCCTGGTCATTTTGTTTAAGGAAGTTTAATCACATGCTTGAAGTAATTGTTTTCTTTAGGCTGAAACTTTTTTCTCTGAATTTCTCATCTCTGATCAGCTTATATTCAAATCTTATATTTTCTATTTTTCGTTCAAAATGGCAAATGCCACTTTAAGTATATAAAACAGACCCCCAATGTACTTGTGGTATGCTAGTAGAATGCAAATTACCTAGCTTAGCTGTCTAAGCTTTTTACATCAACTTAAGTTACTTCCAATTTAAACCAGCACCAGATTTACTTACTTGTTAAATCCACACCAGTAACTCTGACATAGAGTCTAGGGAACTTGTCAGGTAACTCAATTTGCTTAACCAGTGCCAAACTCCAATATGTTATGATATTGATATCAGCTTGATGTGGTAATGTTGAAAAAAACTAATTTATGACCATGAAAATTTTGTTAAGTTCAATTTCTGATAAACAGTACCCCAAAATGAATTTTGAAAAAAAAAAAAAAAAAAATTTGATATCTGAAACTTAGAAGTTTTTAAACCTATTTTCCTTTTGGTCTATAACTGAAAAGCAGAAAACATGTTTTTGAAAAAGAATATGTCTCTGGATTTATTTATTAATATTATTAATACTAATGTTCATCCATTACAAGGCCCAAGAGCCACTCAAGGTAGAGCGTCACTGTGTGGTGTTGCATGAGCATAAGAAAAGGCAAAAAGTAAAGTTAGTAGGTTTATGCAGGAAATATGTCAGTTAACTCTAGACTTGAAGAGGTCAAAATTGTAGTGATTGAGAAAACATCCTACTTGGAGTCTGTTCCACAAAGCATCAGTTTTTGGGAAGAAGCTGTCCAAGTAAAACTTACTTCTTACTCATGGAATATGAACAGAATAGTAATGCTTCCCCCTTGTCTACATGGCCCTGCAAAGGTCAGGGCTGCTAGGACTAAGGAATATAGCTCATCAAAACACATGCCATAGAAATAACGATATGCTTGCAATGTTTCATCTGTGGGAAAGGGATTGTAGGGTGGAAAATAATTCATTACTCACAGGGGTCATGTTAGATGCTTTTGAATTCTATCAAGACAGGCAAATGATGACAAGGCAGCTCCAGTCCATATATGGTAGCAATACTCCATTTTTGGTCTGATGTGGTTCTTGTAAAGATAGAGTAGAGTAGAGAAAGTCAGATACTTATGGTACCATGAACCAACCATATTGTATATATGCATTATTTGAATATTATATCTGCTTGTTTATAACCCAAATATTGTGAAAAATAAACAGCAAATTTTCTTGTGTTCTTCCATATAGATTACTCAAAGAGCAGTAATACCAGTTCTTCAACAGAGACTTCATACACCGATAGCCTCCCTAAAATACCACCGTCTCAACTGAATGGATTTGGTGAGTACTTCCATAAAGATTTATAAAAAAATTTTTTTATTTCAGATCTACTTAGAGAACAAAAAAATATAAACTCATGAATTTCTGTCTGGCTTTTACATTATATCCAGGAATTGATTCAGTTCGGAAAACAAATGTACTTTTTTTTTCTCATCTCCAAAACCTTTTGGTGGCAAGAAATCATACAAAGGATATAATGTTGGTTATTACAATTTCAAGGCATCTTTGTCTCCCTTTTAACAATCACTGCATTTGTGAGGGGGTAGGTTCTAAATGTTTCCGTTTTTTTTTCTTTGCTTCATCAGCTGAATATTTGAATTTGTCTCAGAAATGATTGCCACAGAAAAATATTTCATTACTGTCATAAGTTTTGGTAACTGAAGAGAGACTTGAAGTGAATCCAAGCCTCACTTAACCACTTGTCAAACACAAAGTGCTAGAATCACTGACCAAGTGACTATTAGTGACTATTTTTAGGAAGGAGAGGAGAACGCTAACTCACATGATATTTAAATAGTTTATGACACTGATATTACATTTTTTTATGGTGAGTTCCTATTGGCAATATGAAAAAAATCTCACAACAGTTCATTTAAAACAGTATTTGTAATAGTAGTTTTATTTTTTATTCAATGAAGTATTATTATTCATTTTTGATGAGAATTTACTTCCATTTATCTTCACTTTGTCAAATAAAATGCCTGAAATCCAATGGTATACAGACACATACACAAGGGGTCAATGTGAAATATAGCACTGACTTGCTGTGGATGGTCAGGTTGAGGCTCTCCAGTGTGCACCCAGTTCAGCAAAGTTGATATACTCTTCTCCAACAGAACTCTCTTCTGGGCACTCATATCAATTTATATGTTCATTTCTTGATTGTTCACTTACCAGTTGCCTTGGACAGCTTTGTCTAGTTTCACCTTTGCCTGTTTTTTTTTGACAGTATATTTGGAAATAACAGTAGGCCTATTAAGATAACTGGTTTGTTTCAATAGTACAATAAAGCTGCTATTCTTAGTGAACATACAAAATTATTTCCATTTCATATGTATACCAAGAATAGCAGCCTTATTGTATATTGGCAGTTAGGTCCCATCATTTTACAGTCGAAATAGCTAGATGTAACTGTAAGTTCTCTGCCAACAGTTTTTTCTCCCACACTTACCACTTGTGGAACTCTCTTACAACCTTTTGCATCCCAATCAACTTTGATCTTCAAAAATTTAAATGCATTGTCAATCCTTATCTTGTCTTCTTAATTTCTGTTCTTTTATTGTCCTCTCTCTCTCTCTAATAATGTTTTTCTTTTTCTCACATTTTTTCACACTTAATAACTCCTTGTGTCTTACTAGTTTTATTGCCTTGCTTGGGATGAAATGATTAAAAAAAATAATAATGTTGATTTTTTTTTTTTTTTTTTTTTTTTTTTTTTGTATTGTTGATTGCTACCACCTGAAATAGCTCATTACTGATGATTAATTTGATTATTTATGATACTACATAGAGCCCAGAACCCAGTTAGGCAGCGTCTCTTTCCATGAAACCTCAGTGTCTTATTGGAGGATAAAAAAGTTCACAAAGTTCAATTCTCCATGTACACACAAAAATCACCTCACAAAAATCTCCCCTTGTAGGAAAAGTAAATTGCTTTTATAGTAGTTTGGTCGACACTTATCAGGTTTTTCATTTGTGGAGCATGGAAATGGATTAGCATATTTTTCTATAAAATCTATTCCGCACAGGGACACTTAAATCATGATTGATTAGCAGAAGCTAATTTACATGAATTCACTGACCTCTTTCAGTGCTGAAACATTTTTTTTTTTTTGCAAAAGGAGCATGTGACACAAAAATGTTTTGGCCTTTGCGATATGTTGCCATTTTCTTCTGTACACTTATCCAACCATAGTGATTTCTCGTCTAACACCTGAAAGTAGGCCAGTCTAAGATTAAGCAAGGATGTATCAGTGTGCTCATACAAATGTTTAGGCCACCTGTTGACATCTCTGTAGTCCTTCACTGGGTGTACTTTTGTTTTGTTCTACTGTACCAAGGCCATCAGTGGGTTGATGACCTTGTGGGTGTGAAAAGGGTCTAAGTTTTTGTTTGATGTATGGGATCAACCAGCCTTTCTCAAACCTAGCTCCTGCTCAAATGCATCCCTGACTTGGATAGACCCAAGATTCTCTGAAATGGAGTTTTCTATTTTGACCAGTAACTTATGCTCTACCCATTTCCGTGACACAGTCTACTTGCATAGCCATTAATGAAATCCTCCACAAAAGTTGCAGATGGATTGCTGCACATAGAGGCACTTCTTTCTCAAACTGCATTTCTTTTCTCTGCATTTCTCCAGTTTATATAATATGGACATCGAGATGCCCAATCTCAGTGCCTTTATGGCAGGTGTGTCCAAACTTTTTTCAAAGAAGGCCAGATTTGATGAGGTGAATATCCGTGAGGGACAACCATTTTGCTTGGCATTCTTTGAACCATTAAAATTAAATGCAAATTAACCATCTTATGAAAATTTTATTGTAAATGGCAAATTTTCATTTCTTTACATGAATGACAAATAAATTAAAACAGGTTTTACCAAAATAACTCAGCCTGTCATATCTGAAGCCCATATAAGACGAAGTAAAATATTCTTGAGAAAAAAAGAACTTCCAGGAAGCTATAATATATCTCCGGTTAATCTTAAACATTACATATTGGTAATTAATATTGTCTGTCAACTTTTAAGTTAAATACATATGAATAGGAACATAATACCAACATTCATCTTATTAAGAAGTAGAAAACAGTGACACAAGTCCAAGTGTCCAAATATAACTGATTTTGACCAACACAAAACAAATTTAATTCACTAAGATTTTAGAATTTATTCATCTCAGATGACCAAAACAAATAACTTGCCTGCACTAGTGTGAAGGGTGATACTGAGATCTGAACTGCAGTATGTAGGCCAGGTGTTGGTTCAAAGGCAGTGATTTTAGAAATTGGCTGGAAAAGGCCAAAGTCAAGGTCACACTACCAGAGGTTGGCCACACAATGCTGCTGTCATCTTTTGGTAAAACATGAAATTGTATTTCTTAGGTATGTACTTTATATAGTCTGAATGACAATACTGGCAGGCCATAAGTGATACTTTCTATGACAGAGGATGGGGGCCATATGAAATTTGACCACAGGCCATAATTGGCCCCCGAACCAGATTTTGGACACGCCTGCTTTATGGATTCATTCCCAATTAGCAGGTTAAAACCTAACAGCTTTTTTTTGTACCACCAGGACATTGACCACAGCTGAGTTCTAAGTGCCAATCTGAATGTTGACCATTCCAAATCTGCAGCATGTCTGCGTCTTAGTATAGTCATTTTAACTTTTCTTTAATCCACAACTGGCAGAAATTGAACATAGAATAGGCTGCAAACATAGACTAGGCTTTTCCATCAACATGAAAACTCATGTTTTTAAATAGCCCCATCAGATTGAGATTTTCATATGGATACCATGCATGGCACCAAACCTGTTCAGAAATATTTAAACAAAAAACCATCGTTTTCTGAACATTGTGGACTGGTGCTACAGAATCACAAAGAAAGAACTGTAGCAAATAACAGAAACCACATCATTTGAGGACTACCAACAGCAGCAACAACTAAAATGGATAGCACATGTAACCTAAATGGAAAGGAATGACATAATCAAGATTTTGACATTCCACACGACTTCAAATAAAAGTTTAGGAAAGAAATCCCCATCAACACTGGAAAGGGCAATAACAACTTACTGGACTTGGAAAACCCATTTTCCTGAATAATTGTTTTAACAGAAAGATTTTATAAATTTCAACTGAAAACAGGACTTGCTGCTCAGTTAATGAATGCTAAAAGTTTCCTCATAAGGAAACAGCTAATATTACCATTACCATTCATAGCTAAATCTGTAGATGTGTATTATTGCTCATCTCAACAGGAATAACAATCCAAAATCCTTATATATTTTTCATTATTCACATTGAGACTATCTTTTGTTTAGTGTAGAGGTAACTAGGATTTTAGAAGCATCTGAATTTGAAATATTTGGCTATCTAAATGAGAAGCAATTTAACAAGAACAAAGTTCATATAATATATTCAAGCTGAATGTTAAAACATTTATCCACAAAGAATCATGGTTTAATTTATTTCCCTTCTTGGTTTTGGAGTAAAATTTACACAATTCTAATGTACAGCAGTCATTTTATTATTTTTAACTTATAAATTATTTTGATGAGATTGCCACTTTTCCAACATTTATGGTTAAAAAATAAAATAAATTTTGATAGTGTCGAATTTAAGAGGTTCTACTGTTACATCCTTTTTTTATCTATATAATAAATGGAAATGTCAATGTGTCACTGTGTCAATTAAAGGGATACAACTCTAACTTTCAATAGCTCATGTTACAGAAATTTGGATTCCCAAGTTTTCATTACTGCAATTGTTTTTGGTAATTTTATTGTACAATAACAATTTTTATAACTTGGAAATAAATTTTAGAATAATTAAAATTAATTACAAAATCCAGCGAAAGTCATCCATAAAATAAAAATAATTGTTTGTTTGTACAGAAAGTAAGGACCTATGCACATCAAATAGTCTTTAAAAAAGTGGTGTCAGAAGAATATGGGTGACTTTCACTGGATTTCACAATTAATTTTGGTTATTTCCAAGTTATGAAAATGTTATTGTACAAAAAATTAATTGCAAAAAATCACATAAAAACAATCGCCAAAAACAATCGCAGTAATGAAAACTTGAAAATCCAAAATTTCAGGATTGCAAGTCCAGATCCATTCCAGAATGTTTTTAATTTGCTCACTGAGTCGGCCTGATTCCAAAATGGTATGATATGTTGGGCTACGGCCTCTAGGAGTAAAGTTGAAAAAGTGTAACACACTGACATTCACATTTATTTTATAGATATATATAAATTTTATTAAATGTT